CAGATGTCTCTGTGGTCTTATGATCCTAATCTCCTGGGTGGAAGAACTCCTGGGACTCAGGCCACCTCTTGGATCTGGAAATCGTTCTGATCTGGGTGCAGTGGTTCGTCTAGGATGGCTCAGGATACAATGTCTCCCAAGTGCAAACTAGCTTGGTGTCTGCTGCTCTGAGTGCAGTGGCTCCTCTAGGATGGCTCAGGATTCAGTATCTCCACGGGAGCAGACCAACTCTGTGTCTTCCCCAGCCCAAAGGACCAGACAGGGGCAGAAGGGAAGTGGAATTCTGGAGGGGCGGGGTCTGGGTAGCTGGTGGGTCCTGAATGTCCCTGGCTCCCAGATGTAACTCTGGGGCTTAGGGAGTGAGATGGAGTTCTTACCGGCTGCTCTGAGTGCAGAGGCTCCTCTAGGATGGCTCAGGATTCAGTATCTCCACAGGAGCAGACCAACTCTGTGTCTGTGGAGACCTCGCAGAGCTGAAAGGCTCAGGGTGATCCTGAGCAGGCCGGGAGGCCGGCAGCAGCTGGCATGTGGTCCTCTGGCTTGTAGGTGCAGGAGGCAGGCAGAGGAGTCTGCAGGCCCAGAAGCCGAGAGTGGGCCAAGCTGAAGAGCTCTTGTATTTTTCTTAAAGGTGACCAGCTATTAGGACTCACTCATATACTGGTCTAGAAATCAATCCAATATGCAAAACAACAGTCTACACTTGGAAGGCTGGATCTGGACATTTTCAGAGACATATTTGGAAGTTAGCTGCAGTTCTCTATGATGCTGTTAGCAAGAGATAAAGTTGCAACAGGATGTGGATTTCAAAGAAGTGTTAGTTCATGTGTTAAGGCTTTTATAATTGTCAAGTTAAAATTACTTTTGTTTCTTCTACAGTATTTATTGGTAGTTGCATTGATTGTACATTTTCTAATTCTGTTAGTGTGTTGAAACCTAGCATGTATGTTATGTGGGTCTATCAACCAACTTTTGCTTTATTGCCCTGAGTATTACAGAACCTTAGTTTTCTGAAAAAAGCTTGCAAGTACTGAAAGAAGTGAGTTAGGGTTTAAGCATAAGCAAGAGGGTAATGGGCTTGAGTATTGCTGGTATAACAGCTTTAATTACGTCAATTGCTAGCACCACTGCCTCTGCAATTGCTTTGACACAAGAAGTTAAGATAGCTACGTCTGTTAATCATTTAGCAAAAAAAATGTTACTGTGTAATGAGTATATAAGATTTAGATAGGTGTTTGCAACATCGGATTGTTACTCTTTATCCTATTCAAATTATTGGAAGGCAGTTCAGAGTTTAAGAATAAGGAGCCATCTTGAGAGTGTCATGCCAAATACCAATGGAGTTGTGTTACTGATAAAACTTACAATGATAGTCATTGTAATTAGGTAAAAGTTTAAAGACACTTGTCAGGTATTTGGCATAATTCTAACACCTCTCTGGATGTTGTAACTTTGCATAGTGAGATTATGTATTTAAAGAATTTTGCTCTACTGAGCTTTGATGCTGCATATACTGCTGATAAAATCATCCATGGTTTGAGGTCAGTACTTCTGTTTTGGTCAAGCTTCAAGAATGGCATATATAGCTGGATTATGCTACCCCTTTTTGTCCTGGGAATGGTTTTATTCCTGCCCATTGTATTAAAGCTTGTCTTTAACAACATAAACATGTTGGAAGCCAAAGTACATGACTTGAATCTGAAACTGAATCCCTAGACAGAGTTATTAATTTAACAGGCTGGGAAGACAATGATGGGTAAGACTCTGCACAAAGCCTTACCAACCTAAGACATAAGTGCACTGCTTTTGATAATGAATATTCCACAATGGATAAGGAAGGCTTTCTTGTCAGAACAACCTAATACAGGCTCAGTCTTGTTTATGAAATAAAAAAAGGGGAGATGTCGAGAGCTTTGAGGGCTGCTTGGTGGTAATCTGACATTGGCCAAGGACAAGGAAATGAGCCGCTTGGCAGGAATATGACATTGGCCAAAACAAACGAAATAGGCTTTAGGCAGGAATCTGACATTAGGGTAGAATAAAGAAATAATTTCAGGCAGGAATCTCAATCTTAGGCTAGAATAAAGAAGTAATTTCAGGCAGGAATCTAAATCTTAGGATAGAACAGAAGTATGCTTAAGGCATGAAAATGACTTTGGGGTAGGACAGGGAAGTAGGCTCAGATATTTTGGTCATCCTGATAAGCTGTTAGAAACAGTGATCACTGGAGTGATCACAGAACTTTGTTTATTGTCTTTCTTGTTCTTTGACTATTTGTGTTTATTGTCTTGCTTGTTCCTTGACTATTTGCATCTATTATATTGCTAATTCCACAACCTAGAACTGACCATAATACTTGAATGTAATTCAAATGGTATAAAAGCAAAATAATAATAAGAATAAGAAAAAATTGCAAAGCTTCTGTAAGGCAAAGGACATTATCAGTAGGATAAAATGGCAGCCAACAGTTTGAGAAAAGATCTTTATCAATACTATATCTGATAAAGGGCTAATATCCAATATATACAAGGAAATCAAGAAGTTAGACTCCAGAGAACCAAATAACCCTATTAAAAATGGGGAACAGAACCAAATAAAGAATTCTCTACTGAGGAATGGCCGAAAAACTCCTAAAGAAATGTTCAACATCTTTAGTTATCAGGGAAATGCAAATCAAAACAACGTTGAGATTCCACCTCATCACAGTCAGAAAGGCTAAGATAGATAAAAAACTCAGGTGATAGCAGATGCTGTCCAGAATGTAGAGAAAAGAGGAACACTTCTCCATTGCTGGTGGTATTGCAAGCTGGTACAACCACTCTGGAAATCAGTCTGGTGGTTCCCCAGGTGGACATAGTACTACCTGAGGACCCAGCTATACCACTCCTGGGCATATACCCAGAAGATGCTCCAAAATGCAATAAGGATGCATGTTCCACTATGTTCATAGGAGCCATATTTATAATAAACAGAAGCTGGAAAGAACCCAAATGTCCTTCAACAAAGAAATAAATACAGAAAATGTGGTATATTTACCCAATGGAGTGCCACTCAGCTGTTAAAAACAATGAGTTCTTGAAATTCACAGGCAAATGGATGGATCTAGACAGTATCATCCTGAGTGAGGTAACTCAATCACAAAAGAACACACATGGTATGTACTAACTGATACTAGGGAAAGAGCATGGATTACTCACAATACAACTCATGTACCACATGAAGCTCAAGAGGAAGGAAGACCATAGAGTGGATTCTTCAGGCCTACATAGAAGGGAGGAGTGGAAAAAGAGGGAAAGAATCAGGTATGGGAGAAGATGGAGGAGGTGTACATAGGGTCAGGAAATTGAACTAATGTGTGTAGTAAAGGGGTATAGAGAACTAGGGATAGCAACTAGAAACTTCCAGATGCCAGGAAAACAAGAGCCTTCCAGGACCCCACAGGGAGAACACTAGCTGAAATACACCACAAAAGTAAGGGAGAACCTGTCAAGACCATGTCCAGAGGCTATGCATGGTCCCCAGCTGATGGGAAGAGCCACCCACACATCTCCAAAATTTTAACCCAGAATTGCTCCTGTCTAAAGGAAATTCAGGGACAAAGAATGGAGCAGAGACTGAAGAAAGGCCATACAGAGACTGCCTCACCTGGGAATCCCTCTCACATGTAGACACCAAACCACCAAATCCAGACACTATTGTAGATGCCAAGAAGTGTTTGCCAACAGGAGCTTGATACAGCTGTTTCTTAAGAGACTTTGCCAGATCCTGACCAATACAGATGGGGATGCTTGCAGCCAACCATTGGAATGAGCACAATGGAGGAATTAGGGGAAGCACTGAAGGAGCTGAAGGGGCCTTATTTGTCATCAATGAGAGGGGAGGCCCATGGGCTTGTGAAGGCCTGATGCCACAGTGTAAAGGGATACTAAGGTGGTGAGGCAGGAATGGGTAGGTGGGTTGGGGAGCACCCTCATAGAAGCAGGGTAAGAGGTGATGGGATAGGGGGTTTGCAGAGGGGAAACCAGGAAAGGGGATAATATTTGAAATGTAAATAAATAAAATATCCAATTAAAAATTGTTGAACTCTTTTAATTGTGCTTCAACTGAAAATATCACACAGTACAGCTTCAAAACAGAATATTATAGACAATGTTACTAAATTATTCATAATTCAGTTAAAATAGTTGTTATAAATGCAAGTAATAAATTCAAGCAATAAATATATCTGAGAATCATTTAAATCTGAGGCAGGTTTGATTTCAAAGGAACCTTGTCTAAAGAACATTATTGGAAACGTCTCATAAAGGATTAGAAAGTCAGAGAGAGCGGAATCACAGCAAGGACAAGGGAGAAAAGGTAAAAGACTTGACCATGGGATGCTAAGGAAGGCATTGTGAAGAGAAACACAGAAGTCAGACTCTCTCCACCTTCGTATGGACATGGATGTTGATGGATCTCATTGCAAAACCTAAGAGCACTCTTCCAATTTTAAAAATTAGAGACACAGTGAACCTGATGTTCACAGTGAGGACTCAGCCGTGTGAAGAGAGATGTAACAGTCTTCATTTGATAATATTTATCTGTTTAGTAATCAATTTATATAAGAAAGAGTATTACTTCATATATTCTTCATAACCATGCAGTGTTTAAGTCTTAAACACCGAGAAGGGTATTTTGAAAGAATTTTTGTAAGACACAACATTTGTGTAAGCATTATAAATTTCAGTGACTACAGAAATACAGCCCTTCCCTGTACTTCCACTTGCCTTCTATTGAAGGAGGGTTCGTCAACAGTAGGAGCAGTTCTCTACCATATAACACTTACACAAGGAGTCCCATCAAAAGGAGATAATAAACCCTTAAGTAACCCAGCTTCAGAATTGCTACAGTCAGTATTTGTATGAAGACCCATTTCTCTCAACTTTTCCAAAAATTATTGTTTTAATTAACCAATTGAAGAAGAGGTAACAAACTGAACAAAGTTATAAAAATGGTCCTCACAGATAAGAAAAAAATATTTCCCTCAAAACCACTTTTGTCTGATCAAGCAGCTCTCAGCTGCTGCTTTGAACTGTTTCCAGTTCTTCAGGGTGGTCTGAAGAGCTCTTATTTTCACTTTCTTCCTCCTCAGTGGTATCCTGAGTGGCTCTCTGCAGAAGTAGCTTGAGAGTCTTCCGCCTAAACCTACGGTGTCTAATAGAGCCAACAAGGAAGTAAATGATGGGGTTGACACAGCTGTTAACACAGGAAAGGAATAGTGTTTCATGATAAAAACTACAAATGTCAGCATAATGAATACTGATAACCCATTTATAGATTAGCCAATACATTCCAAAGGGAAGACCAAAGATTAGGAAGACCAGTACTGTGAGTGCAATGGTCACATACAGCCTGGTCACAGGAATCCGCTGGGAGCCACAGAAGATTCTGACAAGCAGGATGAGGCTGGACCCACAGAGAACAACAAATAAAACAATTGACCATACAGCAGTGATGACATAAAATGTATCACACCAATAAAAGTCAAAACTATTAAACAGTAAGCCACATGCATTCCCTTCCAGGAGACCCAACACCAGGGAGATAGCCCAAAGCACAAAACATGTGATAGCTGATGTGTGTCTTGGTCGTTTACAGCGATACCAGATGGGCCATATTACAGACAGGCAGCGCTCAATGCTAATGGTGCTGAGAATGCTCAGACCAGAAAGATAAGCAGATGATGACACAATATAAAAAAACAAAGGGATTTCAATGTCAATTGAGTAGAAGAAGTAAATGCCAATATGAAGGCAAATTACAAACTGAGAGCACAGGAAGAGAAAGTCAGCCACAGCCAGGTTGAGAATGTAGACAGAGAAGGCATTCTTGTGCATCTGGAAGCCCAGGAACCACAGCACTATGGCATTTAGTACCATTCCAACCAGGGAAATGATGAGGCAAAGCAAAATCATGGCCTGGATCTTGATGGCACAAACTGAAGTATCATTGTAGTAGCTTTCATTCAGCCATATGATGTTAGTTTCCCAGGCTGAGATGCTTAGATTCTTGCTTAGTAAATCTCCACTCATTTTCCTGAAACAGCAAAATAAAAGTATATGAGCACATGCTGTGGACTCTGATTCAGGAACACACAGCTATGTGGTGATGCCTCACCTGGTTCATAAGAAGAAGAAACAGGACTCTAAAAATTAAGTAATTTATTTATATCAGTGTTTCTGGAGCCTTTATTAATTTAATTTTTGTGGGACCATGGAAGGATAGCTTGGTTTCTGGTGGGACACTGGCTAGAGATAGCCAAGAACCAACAGGTATTCATACCTACAAGGGATGGCATACATTTTGCCATGCTCCCAAACTCCAGGCTCCTGACACACGGCCAAGACCTCCATTGATCCATGCCCTTTAGTCATGTAAGACAATGCCCTACAGGCCCTTCCAAAGAGAGTTTTGTATCACCCAACACAGATTGAGGGTATGACTATAGGCCTCAGCTGCAAGAGATCTCCATATTAATGAGATACTTAAAGGCCAGAGGGTGTAGCCAATTAAGCATTTCTTCCCAGGCCCTTCTCCCTCCTCCTTTCCTATTTAACTCATGTCTGCACTGAGGTTGGGGGGGAGGTCTTACACTTTTATCCACTTTCTGCCATGACAATAAACCTTTTAACCATGGACTTCCTTGTGTCTTTGGGGCCCTGCCATGGGAAACCGTGGAGAAGGCCTTTGAGAACCTAGCTGCTGCTTAATCTCCCACTAGAAGACTTCTCTACTTTCCCTGCTGTGGAGGCCTACCAACTCAACTGAGCTAAGCAAGTGCCATAACCAAGATTCTCTATACCACAGGACGCTGCCAGAGCTTCTTTCTTGCCCCTCTTGGCTGCAGGCCAGTCCCCCCATATGCCCTCCATCTTAGTTCTTCCATGGCTCCCAGCCGTGTCTGGGAGCCCAAGGACAGAGACCAACGGCCTCCAGGTCAGCCGCCTCTTCCCGGAGACCTCCACTCAGAAGCTCTACCCCAGCAGAACTGCAGGCTGAGATCTCTCCACACCAGGGCAGAGCCCTGCAGCATCCACTTGGTGCCGTGTGGGGTGAACTCAGTCAAATTCCACACTTCTGCTTCCCTGAGCCACAATAGAACCCACGCCCACACACTCGAGGTAACAGTTCCACAAATTTTCTGGGGCATTAATTGAAATGCACTTGATATTTATTTGGGCTTTCTTTAATCTATGACCTTTAATGGTATGAGAGTAGTTGGTTTCCATATAGTAACTCAGTGTCTTCTGGCTGTGTCAGAACAAACTAGAACTCTGAACCTAACTTTCTCTTTTCTATAAGGATGGTTCTTTTCTGCTGCAGGAACTCAGAAGCCAGAAGCACGACTAACATATGCTCTTAGTCTGGGCATAGGGAAATCCATCAAGTGGGAAAATATAAAATTCATGAATGACAGTCATGAACAGAATGCCAAGTCATACTAAAACCAGTTTGAAAAGAACCAGACCTATATGCTAGTGTGACTCATTATCCATTTCAGATTTGAAACTTGAAAGAAAAAAGTCTTTGATGACATTAAGCACTTTTCTGTTGTCTGTTGCTATATCACAAGTGTACATATCTCTGTTGAGACACAGTGAGTAATTGAGAATCTTGACTGATTTATTACTACTATTCACAAATTATATACACTATATGTTTATGTATATATATCACATATATAAGTTTCATGTGATACATATAAGATATGTAAGATAAATATCACATATATGTAATATATTAAATGTAAGATTTATGTAAAATTATTCAAAAATGAATAAATTAATAAATCCAACAGTAGCTACAAATTTTGATGAAATGTTTTTACAAATATTTTAGAGCAGGTTTAGTACCTTAAAGCATATGAAAAATGAAGAAAATATAACTGGTGGTTCTTTCAGAGTAAGTTCTAGTGTGTTTGAAGGAATGGCTTATGCTGCAATGTGGCTAATGATGGACTTCATCATTGCCCAATGGAGACATTTCCAATAAATGGCAAGACTGTTGACCTAGAAGTATGCAAAACCAGAGTGTATTCATTAGTTCTGAGATTAACTGAATTTCTAAGACTCTTGTGAAATAAAAAAAGAAAAATTGGAGAAAAAATAAAATGAAGAAAAAAGTAACAACTGCTAAATAGAGGTCACTGTGAGACAGAAACAACCACAGAGCTAGAGAGCACTTAATGGAAACTGTCTATCAGACATGGTGGCTGACTTGAGGAAAACCTGACTCTAGAGGGTGGGTCAGGAAGATTTCATTGAGTTCATGGATAGCCTAAGCTTGAATTCAGAAGTTTTCTTAATTATAAAAATATAGAGATATTCCAACAAATATAGGGGCAATCCAATAAATGCAGGGACATTCCAAATGAACATGCTAAAAAAATGAACCTATATATAACAAAAAATGTGTTGACCTGTGTCAGAAGTAAATGACACATAAAGAATGCTGATCTGAAAGGCTGCATTAACATGTGAGAGTTTACTTCCAAAAAAAAAAAAAAAAACTATCAGGAAAACAGCACAGTTCTGTATTAACATCTTTGATCTGGAAAATCAGGGAAAGATAACATTCCACAACTAAAAAGAATCTTACTGCAAAAAGAACGTGTTATTCCCATCCTGATAGAAACCTGATAAACCTTGGGTCTATTCTACCTATCAGGCTATATATTCAACCTGGATCTTCTCTGTATCAACTCAGATTTCTTTCATAAGAAACTCTCCTGCTCTCAAAGATTGTTCCTTTCAGTTCCCCAAAGTATGTATTTTGTGATTAATCTTGGGACTCTCTCAAAATGGCGAGCAAAACCTTATACCAAAGAAATAACCAAGAACTAGGTTTCAGATGCTTGGGTCATATCATCAAATTAAAAAAATATATATGAAAAAAAGTGTCTAGTTCAAGGACGGCCTGAGCACAGAGCAGATCCTGGGCAGCAGCTCTGTACCCAACCTCACAAAACCCAGAAAAAAAGGGCCTCCCAGGAGCTCTAACCCAGGCAGTATCTCAGATAAAGAGTCTGGCAAAAAAAAAAAAAACCAGAAAACAAAAAAGATAGTTTACTTATTTCAAATTATTTTCAAAAGTTTCTAGGAGATGCTAATTGGCTAAGATCTTATTTTAAGCTCTCCACAAAAGAATTTAGGTTTCTGTTTAATATTCTCAAGAGAGATGTAAATCCTAATTTCCCTCAAAAATTAATAGACAAAAGAGGAGTAATTTTACAAAAAGTAGAAGTTATTATTAATCGATATATATTCTGATTAGTTGTTGGCTCTTCTATAACAGTTCTTTGATAAAAGAGATTATTAATATAGATTTATATTTCTTTAAATAGTGTTTTCATGACTTTCTGAGTGTGGAAGGAGCGTCTGCTGGTGCTTCTGCCCCGATTTTACAAGAACTCTGAAAATTTGACTTTAAAAACAAAAGAGGGGGAATGGTACTCCCCCTCAGAAGGAGTCTCCCGAAATACTCTCCATCATGCCTTGTTCACATTTAGCTTGCTAAAACTGAAAGCTCATGGCAAATTTGCTGCTGACTGCCTCTGGCATCACTGAGACCAATAAAAACTATGCCACAGCTATGTGGAAGTATCCTCTTACCCTTAATGGGATTGGCCTGGACCCAGTTCTCTTATGGGGTTGAGGATTGATATGCCTGTTTGATACCACAGAAGACACAGTTAAATTCCAAAAAGATTAATGAAATAAATAGATACCCCCAAAAAGCCAGGCCCAACTATAAATAAGATGAATAACAATTGACATCCAGGGAAGAGAAATCTCCCTGAGAATTCCCTTCTTTTTCCTTTCCAGGTAAAAATGAATCACCCATGATGTCTGCTGCTAGAAATTCTAATACAGATGCTGGCCTCCGAACTTATACTACTCAGACCTTCAGTGGGCCATTGACAAGGATATCAAACAGCTAGAGATTCACATCACTAATCTGAAGAAATCCCTTGTTTTACTGTCTGAAGTGACCCCCCAAAATTTCAAAGAACTTTATTGGACTTGATTTACTCTTTTACAATAGAAAAGAATGTGTACAGCCCTTGACTGTGTACAGCCCTTAAAGAAGACTGTTGCTTTTACATAGACAAGACAACGATGGTTAAAGAGAGCATGATAAAGGTCAGAGAAGGCCCTGAGAAAAGTCAGAGAAAGAAAGAGAAAGATGAGAGCTGGTACAAGAATTGGTTTTCAAGCTCTCCATGGTTGTCAACCCAGCTTCTTCCCATCTTGGGACCATTATTTGGGTTATTTTTGCTTATTTCTTTTGGTTCCTGGGCCTTAAATAGGCTGACTAACTTTGTGAAACAATAGATAGATAATTTGGTAGCAAAACCTATTCAGATACATTAGCATAAGTTAGCTATGGAGGACCACGAGGCTTAAGATGAGGTAGTTACTCTATCCAGGGTGTTCTCAAAACCCATCTCCACCCAACCTAAAAGAGGGGACTTCCACCCCTAGACCAAGCAGAGAGAGGCCACCCAGAACCCCCTCTGGCAGGCAATCTGAATTCTTGCTTAGGCTGCGAGGCTAAGCACTGCAAGGGAATATAAATGATAGTTAAAAATATCTCTCTGGGTTCCCTGAGGGACAAGCCTGTCTGCACAGGGATTGATGTCAAAAGTATCCCCTCTCCAGGAAAAAAACATCAGGATGAATATGGCCCTCATGCCTCACTGGACAATGACAAGAAGACTGGAGCCATTACAAGGTCCCCTTCAATTGCTGAAGGTCAGGTCTCTATCCCCGCCTTTGCAAGATTAGATTCGCCACAGCCCTTCTATACTTAGAGAAGGGAAGAGATAGCCTACTTATACACTGAAGGCCTAAAATCAGCCATAGGCCTAAAATCAGTAATAGGGCTGTCATACATGTATGCTAACACATAGTCTTGGGTCTTCGTAGAAAAATATTGAAACAGATGGCTATAAGCTATTGTAAACAGGCAGTTTTTGTGGAAATTTACCAGCCTGAGTAGTAATAGACCTTGTAAATAGCTAGCCTTGGCA